ACGGATGCACCGTGAGACTGGCACAGGACCTGTTACTTGCATAATCTGTGATCGCCAACTCAGGCTATACGGCCACCTGGCTTGCTTCCCACAGGATGATCCTGCCCACTACGTCCGAGACAGCCCTGGGTGGAGGAGGCCTGTAGGATGACCTAGAAAGTCATGGCTTGGGCAGAGCGATCAAACCTGTCGTGTGGAGCTCGAAGTGTGTCGAGTCTTTGCCCGGCGACTTGTGATGAAGAATCCTCAGAGGTGGAAACGAAGGATGGATGCGGCTATGCGCCCCCGTCGGCGTTAGCTCCCCGATGATGATATATATACAAACATTTATATATATATATATATATATATATATATATATATATATATATTATATATATATATAATTATGCATATATACATGCACATTTATATATATAATATTATATATATATATATATATATATATATATATATATATTTATATATATATTCATATTTCTCTTTCCTTTTCTCTCACCTCCCCCCTTCCTCTCGATTTTCCCTTTTATCTCTCTCTCCCGCACCCCTGACTCAGTTATTCACAAGTGTGTATAAGCGTGGGTATATTTGCGCTCGAGTGTGTCTGTGTCTGTATGCCGCACACATAAGCAATATAGGATAAAATCAATAACCTACAGAGAGAGTGATGTATACACAGACGCACAAGCAAAGAGAGAAAGAGAGAGAGGCTCTCTTTAACTCTCCCTGTAGCGCGTGTACATTATGCATTTTCCTTATTCCTTTGCCATATCTCCGATCTTGCCCCCCCTTGCTCCCTCACCCTTCCTATCTACTCCCTCCCTTCCCTGCTCCTTTCTCCTCCCTATCTGCTCCCTTCCCCTCCTTAACTGCTTCTTCCTACTTTCTATATGCTCTTTCCCACCCGTTCATTATCTACTCCCTACCCCTCCCAATTTGCTCCCTCCCCCTTCTTGTCTGCTCCTTTCTCCTCCCTATCTGCTCCCTCCCTCTTCCTATTTTCTCCTTCTCCTTCCTGCTCCTCTCTCCTCCCTAACTCTCTTCCTCACGCCGCTGCAGTCCCTCATTTATCCCGCTCGGGGCGCAAGACGCATAAGGAATTAGACTTAATGAATTAATTTTCCCTGCTAAGCCGATTATGGCGTGTGCGAGGGATGGCAGAAGGTAATGTCTGCTGGAGAGGTGACTTGCCCTCCTTTTCTTTCACCTGGCTCCCTCTCGCGTCCCTGACATTCGGCCTTTCAGATTCCCAGCTATTTCTTGCCTTTTGGATTTATAGTTATTTCTCGCCTCTCCGATTCATAGTTATTTCTCGCCTCTCGACTACGGGTGCGCGATCGGAGCAGCCAAGCGAACACAGCGTGAGAATTCAACAGTGTGGACAAGGTAACCGTATAGAATGGCCGCTGAACTGCATTCGAGAGGAAAAGACAGTTTTACGAGGCTCGCTCAAAGGAATAAGATATGAAGTCTTACTTTGAGTACGGGATCTACAGGTGTGTTTGTCTCTTGATATTTACAGTACTTCTGGATGGAAGGACGATGTGTTTATAGTAGCTGCGTTTGCTGGCCTTAGATAATGTCGCTTTGGAAACAATCTACAATCAACACAGTCCTTTTAATGCAACATTTCCCACACACACAAAACCTCATACTATTATTCCAATCAAGTAAGAACAGAAAGAAATCCCTTTAAGCCTCTGAAAATCCGAACTGAAAAGGGACTTACCTGTTTCCAGAGGAAGGGCTGCGCGGCGTTGGCGGCGGCGGCGCACCCGATCTGGGCGACGGACAGGAGGACGCCCCCGGCAGTGGCCTCCAGCACCCGCAGCGGCAGGAGCGTGTAAGTCATGTATATGAAGAAGAGCGTCGCCCACACGCCGGCGGAGGCTGTCAGGGGCTCACTGCCGATGGTCATGAGCGCCTCGAGACCGAAGAATGAAATGAGGACGAGGTATGAGAAGATGATGAGATAGACCTCGTTCAGCAGCTGCGTTCGCCACAGCAGAATCTCGAGAATGACGTAGAGCGCGCAGAACACACCGATGGTGATGCTCTGCGTGTAGTATTTTCTCAGGTCGAGCATGTAGATGAGGCAGAGCATGACTAGCATCACTACGATCAGCAGGCCAAGAAGTGACGTCATGTTCGACTGGTTCATCCGCAGGAAGTACCTCTGGTAGAGCACCTCCACGTGGATGTTCTTGAACTGGTGCGACCGGAAGATGCGGCGACACAGCGCGCACATGTCCCACCATTGCGCCGTCTCCAGCAGGATGCTCTCCTCCTCCTCCTTGGCTTGCTCTTCTTCGGGGGGACTTTTGGGGCTCGACGCGCCCACGAGGCCGGATTTGCTGTAGTGCTCGATCACTTCCCAGTTGGACTTCTTCGGGGGCGGCTCTCCGGTGGATGGGCGGGACTCGAGGGACGTATGGGTGGAGCCGTTGGTCTTGGAGTGACGAAGGGAGGAGGAGCGCGGGGCGCCGATGCTCACGCCTTCCTGCGGGCGAAGGGAAACACGGTGAAGGAGGCGGCCAAGAAACATGGGTTTCAGGTAAACAACAATATGTGAGCGACAATAACAATAACAGCAACACCATTGGTATGATAATAAGAATGTTTATGATATCAGTATTAATTTCAATAAACATTATTAGTATTAAGAATATTACGGTCATGATTATATTACTCTTGCTAATTCTACCATTATTGTTATTATCATTATTACTGTTATTTTTTTGTTATCATCATCATCATTACTACCATTATTATCAACATTACTATTGTTATCATAATCATCATTGTTATCATCATTAATAAAATCATCATTATTTTTTCATTAACATTATCGTTATTATATCTATATCATCATTATGATAGTAACAGTGCTGATAAAAATAATACTGATATAATGATAAAACACAAAATAATCAAAACAATGAAAAAGATGATGGCTATAATCAAACAACAACAAACAGGAAAGAACACAGAAGCAATATCACTAATGTTAATGACATAAGAAATGCTAATCAAAATTTTCCATATACATCACGCATCCCCGTACCCCACTACATATTCCTCGTGTGATGATTAAAACTGTGACTAAAAATAATGCTTACATCCTGTCATAGAGAGGCAGCATAAAATTTATGACAAATTTATTCTGTCCTGTAAACAAATGGCTAAATCTCCCTGAGGGCATTCGGGACCAGCATAACAAAGGCTTCGCGATATTAACGCTAAAAGGATCTTACAGAATTATTTTTCAAAGCGCCGCGCCGAAAGCTGCAGAAAGTCAACAAAAAACGGTGTGTATGTTGTAAGGCAAATTTCGACGATGAAAAGCGGTATATATATATATATATATATATATATATATATATATATATATATATATATATATATATAGTAGAGAGAGAGAGAGAGAGGAGAGAGAGAGAGAGAGAGAGAGAGAGAGAGAGAGAGAGAGGGAGAGAGGGAGAGGGAGAGGGAGAGGGAGGGAGAGAGGGAGAGAGAGAGAGAGAGAGAGAGAGAGAGAGAGAGAGAGAGAGAGAGAGAGAGAGAGAGAGAGAGGAAGAGAGAGAGAGAGAGAGAGAGAGAGAGGGAGGGAGGGAGGGAGATATGCATTATGTAGCATAAACCACATTATGTGGAATAATTTCGTTTCATAACGGACGATTTCTCTTCGCCAGAGAGTGAAAATAGTTACCTCAAAAAAAGTTCTTTTAAACCGAGATTCCTAGTGCTTTAATCACTCCCTATTTACACTGCCTGTCATTATGACATCTGGCAGACATCCGCTCTAATCACGATCGTCGTTATAGTACGAATGCACATTTCGTCAAAGATAACCACAGGCATCACTAAGGCGGCGCCACAAAGTAACACGGGGGATGTAAGAACTTTTGAATGTAACTGCATCGACTATTGATGTTTGTTGTTATTGTTGTTGTTGTTAAAGTCCTTATTATTATTACTATCATTATCATTATTATCATCGTTATTATTATCATTACTAGTAGTAGTAGTGGAAGTAATAGTAGTAATAATAATAGTAGTAGTAGTAGTAGTAGTAGTAGTGGTAGTAGCAGCAGCAGTAGTAGTTGAAGCAATTGTAATTATAAAAACGATGATGATGACACTACTAGCACTACTACTAGTACTAGTACTAATACTACTACGTATGATAATAATAACAATAATAATAATAATCACAATAATAATAATAATAATAACCACAATAATAAAATTACAAATAATTAGAAATAACAATAATAATGATGGTGATCCTGATAAGATAAAATAGTAATTAATAATAATAACAACAATAATAATCATAATAATAATAAATGCATTAAACACGATTACAATAATAATAACAATAACAAGACAAAAATAATCATAATAAAACAATAATTATAACAATAACAACAATAGTAATAGTAATAATATTTAATAATAATAATAATAATAATAACAATAATAATAATAATAATAATAATAATAATAATATCTAAAAAAAAAAAATAGAATGAGGTTCATTTTTAAAAAAAAAAAAAAAAAATCAAAACCTGAAAGAAAGTACAATACTAATGCGTGGTTTCAGATTTTTCCCTTTTCCCCTTTCGTTTCATTTTGGGAGAAAATCCAGCTGTTTTTCCAATAGGAGGTAATAGGATTTGCGGCAGCGAAATCTTAAAGCTGAGCAGGCTTGCTATCATTTTTTTTCTCCCTTTCGAATGAAGGTTCATATAGAAAAGAGGTGACCGTGGATCTGGTTAGAGATATGATAACTATTTATCATGCAGGATCACGTGCAATTCTGACTTTATTTGTTAGAGCTGCGTGTGTCTCCTTTTGAGCCTGCAACTAACTCGCATACAAAAAATAAAGGAAATCAAGCTAAGATGCTAATAAGCTGATGGACACACGACGCCCTAACACACACACATCGTAAACCAAACGGAGGTTACAGAAACGAGGGTGATGATAATGAGGAGTTGATGCCAGTCAGTGCCAGGTAATCCTCCGGCGCCTCGGGAATCGAACGCATAATGGGAACTTGCAATATCAAAGAGCACGACCTGAGTACAAAGGCGGGCGGACAGTACTGGTACTCTGGCGTGTAATAAGATATGCATGGATCCGATACGAAATGATATCGAGAGGAACAACTAATTAGCGAGTACTAGCTTCAATTCAACTGCACTGCCGGCCATGTTTATTCTACCGACCTGATATGCGAGATGAGTGACATGGCGGTAAGCGCTGTCTCAAATGGGACAATATCAAAACAGGAAAAAATACCATCTGTTATGATGGGCAAAGTGAGATTTTCCCCACGAGTTGCATGTCTGACAAAACAATAAAGGACGTATTTACAAACACTCCTCGTTATAAGTCATATGATAGCGCAAGGCTTTTTCTTGAAACCTTTTATTATCCCCCCTCTCCCTCTCTCTCTCTCTCTCTCTCTCTCTCTTCTCTCTCTCTCTCTCTCTCTCTCTCTCTCTCTCTCTCTCTCTCTCTCTCTCTCTCTCTCTTGCTTCTTTACTCATCTGCAACGAACATATGAACGTGTGTGTGTGTGTGTGTGTGTGTGTGTGTGTGTGTGTGTGTGTGTGTGTGTGTGTGTGTGTGTGTGTGTGTGTGTGTGTGTGTGTGTGTGTGTGTGTATGTGTGTGTGTATGTGTGTGTGTGTGTGTATGTGTATGTGTGTGTGTGTGTGTGTGTGTGTGTGTGTGTGTGTGTGTGTGTGTGTGTGTGTGTGTGTGTGTGTGTGTGTGTGTGTGTGTGTGTGTGTGTGTGTGTGTGCGTGCAAGTACTTATATAGAGCTTGTGCGCGTGTGCGTGAGTGCAAGTTCGTTCGTGCGTGCGTGCGTGCGTGCGTTGTCTGTATAAAGTTTTAACCTAAAAAAAGGGAAGTGTTTGGCATAATAGCCTTCACGCAACGCTTGTTTGCATAATCTGGATTTTTTTACGCTATATCGAATTACATATTTTACTGTCAAACGGCACCGGATTTTGGAGTCCACATCTACGGTGCAGTTGATTCTAGCGGAAAATTTGGTTATGTCACATTAGTAAACTTTCATTCCTGAAACAGCTGATGAGTGCGATACCAATGGGCGATAAGTAACAGTTCCGCTTACAGCTCGGCCTCACTAATTTCTATTATCCATCAGTCTGTGTGTGTGTGCGTGTGTGTGTGTGTGTGTGTGTGTGTGTGTGTGTGTGTGTGTGTGTGTGTGTGTGTGTGTGTGTGTGTGTGTGTGTGTGTGTGTGTGTGTGTGTGTGTGTGAATGAGTGAGAGTGAGAGTGTGAGTGAGCGAGTGAGTTTAAGTGATTGAGAGAGTGAGTGAGTGATCGAGTAGGTTTGAGTGATTGAGTGAGTGAGTGAGTGAGTATGCGTGCGTGTGTGCTTGTGTGATCTGTGCGTATGCACATGAAACAAAATCAAGCAAACATAACAGCAACAGGATAAAATCATATCACCGCAAATAAGATGATATAAAGATATAAGCAAAAAAACAACAGAAAAACGTTAAATAAAAAAAAGTAAATTAGAACCATAAAATCCAGCATCTAACTTTACTAACACCCCCCCCCCGCCCTCCCTAGGCCCCACCCTCTTCATACTTGCGGGAAAAAAATTATCGAGCAGATGTCATTGATTCACATGAAATCTAAATAAATGGTGCTAGATTATTACAAACAAATGACGCGTTCAATGATGGGAACTGACACTTTTACGCATTTAAATGAAGAATGACTTTGAAATATCTGAATATGCAAATGTAAACAGTGTTGGCACTGGCATATCGATGAATTGGAAAGAAAAGAGAGGAAGATGAAAGGAGGAATAGAGGGGGAGATGAAATGCGAGACAAAAGTAGGAAGAAAAGAAAAGCTGGGAGACATGACCGAAAACTCCCATCCGTTATAAAAACAAAGCTGATAATAACAACAACAAAGAACAGGATCATGTTTACAAACAGATCACCCCCTCCCCTGCCCCGCCCCGCCCCTGAGTACCCCCGCGCCAACACGCCTTCCCTTCCCCCTTTTAAAAATAGTTTTCACAGGGAGATCCAGTATTTTAGAGACACGTCGCCCGAGTTACATCATGTCAGCGCTGACCTCGGCGGGGAAGGTAGGTGACCGAAATACCTTTGTAAATAAAGAATGGGGTTGCGGACGGGCGGGCGGTTGAGGTTAGGCGGCACGGTCAAGGGAAGGCAGTGCGCGGGGCGGGGCGGGGTGTGTGTTGTGTCTAGGGGCGGTGTCAGGTGTCGGCGCGCGGCAGGATCAGCCTGAGGATGCGCATGTGGCATGCCTGTGATGTGGGGGAGATGTGGGGGGCGGGGGAAAGGGGAGGGAAGAGGTGTGTGCGAGGGAAGGGAAGGGGGCAGGGGAAAGGTGTGTGGGGGAAGGAAAGAGGGGAAATGTGTGTGGTGCGAGGGAAGGGAAGAGGGGCTGGGGAAAGGTGAGTGGGGGATG